CCCCGCCCCGCCCTGCCCGCTGGTCATGCGCCGGTTCGCTTCTTCCGCGCTGAGCCCACCCGCGCGGTCACGGGCCGCCGGGAGACCCTCCGACGGTTTGATGTCACACCGGCCGGTAGGCAGGGTGCAAACGAGCACCCCTCGCAGGGACGGGCCTTCCTGTTGGGATTTTTCCCTCCCCCCAGTGTTTGTGTTTGTTTTCCTGACTCCTCATTTTAGAGACTAAGACCTTTCACGACGCCAGCGAGCCGACTCCTTGTGTGTCGCAGGTGGGGAGGCAACCTGAAGAGGCTCCAGGACCTCCCGGGTCCCTTCCCAGAGCCACGTGGGCCTCTCCGGCTCCGGAGGGAAGGCCTCCTTTCCGGGGACGTGGGTCCTAGACCCGGACCCCCCAGCAGCCTCGCCCTCGAGCACTTCCGAGTGAAACTTCCTGTGAGGAGGTGGAATCGATGCCTTTGGTAAAAGAAGGAAACTTGGGTGTGGCCTCTGAGCCACAGAACGAGGGGAAGGGAAGGGCGCGTTCTCCAGCCGCTGCGCCTCTCCAGCCCCACCCTCCCCTCCAGCTTCCCCAGCCCTCACCAGGCTGTCACCCACTGCCATGGAAAAAGCCAGAAGACGCTGAGTCCTCCCTCCAGGCTAAATGTGCTTGCCCTTGCCCTCGCTAGACTGCTAAACAGTGGACAATTGTGGGTCACCCACTGCCATGGAAAAAGCCAGAAGACGCTGAGTCCTCCCTCCAGGCTAAATGTGCTCGCCCTTGCCCTCGCTAGACTGCTAAACAGTGGACAATTGTGGCTCTTAAGAAAAATAAAACAGAGAAATAAGGAGCTTTCTTACAAGCGCCAAAGGCTTATCAACAGCAGCAGTGACAACTGTAGAAACATCTAGAATCTGTTGAGTGCCTCCTGGTTGGAAGTTCCTGGTCCTGCCACATGGCGGTGGCTCCCCTTCCTCCCTTCTCTCTGCCTCCGCCTTAGAATCCATTTATTGTAGTGGGTGGCTGGGGTCTGCAGCAAGTGGGATCTTTGCCAGGTGTTATTGCCCCCAGGGCCACCTAGGTAATGTGTCTTCTCTTGCGTGGAATAAACACTGACCCTGGCCAAGGACAGAAGCTCCTGATGCTGCCTGCTCTGGGGATCAGCTGGATGAGTCAAGGTTGTAGGAGAAGGATTTTTACCTGGCTCCTAGACGCCTCCCTGCACTGGCTGCTTTGCATGGAGACCAGGATGTGGGCGACTCTGGTGTCAGGCAGACCTTAGCTGTCCTCCCAGCATTGGCCCTCACATGCTACATGGTCTTGGACAAACATTTAACTTTTCTGTACCTTAGTTTCTTTATTTTCAACAGGGAAAACCATCCCCACCACGGAAGGTTACAGAAAGGCACATAGTAGACGCTCAATAATGGTAGTTCCCCACCAGGTGCAAACTAGCAAAACATTTTTGCGAGCTGTGGTCACTGCCTTTGCTCCTGAAGCTGCGGGGGGTGGGTGGTTTTTGGTGGAGTTGGTTTGGGCCCTGCGGGAAGGTGTTTGGGTCCCAGCCCCCTTGGTCCTAGTGAGATCCCCCAATAGCATGCCGGCTCTCCCCACATCCCACCCCCTCATGGTTGCCTCAAAACAGCTGATCTTCCAGGCCCTTTTGAATCTTCAGGAAGTTGCGGAGTGCCAGGATGAGGGGTTCTCCACAGTGCACACCAACTGGGATGTCTGTCCTGCACAAGACAGTGTCCCCGTATTGGAGAACTCATCTGCTCCCCATCTGCTCAGCTGCACGGACAGTCTGTGTCATGAGCCGGACCCCAATCCTCGTCTCAGCTGAGTGGAGGAGTCAACTCCCTGGCTGGAGCTGGCAAGAAGTGCTTTCCGGGGGGCCTTGGAATTGAACACTAACTGATTCAGTTTCCCCAGCTCTTCTCTGCAACAGAGGCGACCTGAGCTCAGGAGCTGCTGGTGGTAGCCGTTCCCCCACCTTGGTTTTTTTAAATTCCTAAACCTATAGAAAGGTTGCAAGAATAATACAATGACACTCAAGTACTCTTCATCTAGATCAATCGATTGTTGACATTTTTACCCACATTTGCTTTATTTGTTTCTACACACCAAACGATTTTTTGTTAAGCCATTTGCAGCTTGTTAGGGACAGCATAACACTTTACTAAGTACAGCACTTCAGCATATACCTCTGGACAACAACAGCATTCTTCCACAGAACCTGGATGTAATCACCACACTCAGCGATTTAACATCAATACACTGCTGTTATCTACTGTTTAGTCCATATCATCTAATATTTATCCCATTATCTAATATTTAGTCCGTAACGTGTCCTTTGTAGCTGCTTTTGCTTTGACCCAGGAGCTGGTCGAGGGTCCCGTTCTGTACTGTCTTTAATCTGAATCACTTCCTCAGCCTTCCTTTGTCTTGTATGACACTGACATTTCTGAAGAATCAAGGCCAGCTGTTTGGCAGAATGTCCCTTGTTCGAGTTTGCCTAGAGCTTCTTCCTGATACACTCAGGTTACACTTTTTCTAGGGGCAGGGGTGGTGTCCTCCCCAGCGCATCACGTTGGGAGACATGTGAGGACAGCTGTCTGTCACTGGTGAGGTGAAAATAATTTGAAGAAGACAGTATCTTCTATATTTCAGCATTTACTGTAATCCAAGAATCTTTCACCCAATGACTTTAATTTTTATTGATTTTTGCCTAAATCAGTTATTACTATGATAATCATAAAGTGATGATTTTCTGTTATAATTTATGCCATATTCTTCAACAGAAAAGAGTTTTTCATCAGTACTTGAATTTTTAAAAAGTTATTGGTATGAGCTCACGGATTCACTATTGTTATTAATACTGTTATTCAGTGCGGTTTGTGGGCACTGGCTGAGGGGGTGCTGTTACATCATTTTGAGGCTCATATTGTCCCAAATTTGGTGAGCAGGAGCCCCTTCAAGTTGCCTTTTAGGTTTCCTTGTCATGTTTTGAACACTTCCTTACTTTCTGGCACGGGAAGACGGGCCAGGCTCACCTTGCATGATCCGTGGGTGGTGGGCACTTTTTGTCATGTGGAAGCACAGACGCTGCTTCTGCTACGGAGCGAGTGAGGCAGAGGTGTCAGAGAAGGAGTGACAAACAGTGAAGAAAGAATCCTTCGGGCCTCACTATGGCTCTTGAGCTTCTGACTCCAGTCCCTTTCCGGAGCCCTGCTGCTCCCCAGCCCATGGGCTCCGTGACGCCCCGTCTCTTTATTGATGAAGCCCCTTTTGCTTTTCCAGGCACTCTTGAGCTTCTGACTCCAGTCCCTTTCCGGAGCCCTGCTGCTCCCCAGCCCATGGGCTCCATGACGCCCCGTCTCTTTATTGATGAAGCCCCTTTTGCTTTTCCAGGCATGGCTCCTGCAGGCCTGGTGCCCACTTCTCCATGGCTTCCTGGCCCATCCCACCTCCCTTGTTCTGGCCCAAACAAGATGAGAGACAGGCTGGCATGGAGATTTTAGAGCAGATGCCCCTCCGTCCTGACTTCCTTGGCTCCCAGCAAGTGAGACAGGGAAAGTTGGAAGCAGACATCCTCTTGAAAAGAAGCAGACGTGGGGCCGGCCCGTAGCTCACTCAGTAGAGTGCGGTGCTGATAACACCAAGGCCACGGGTTCGGATCCCATATAGGGATGGCCGGTTCGCTCACTGGCTGAGCGTGGTGCTGACAACACCAAGTCAAGGGTTAAGATCCCCTTACCGGTCATATTTAAAAAAAAAAAAGGAAGCAGACGTGAGGCTGGCTGGTCAGCTCACCTGGTTAGGGCATGGTGCTGATAATACCCAGGTCAAGGCTTTGGATTCCCTTACTGGCCAGCCACCAAAAAAATAAAATAAAAAGAAAGAAAGAAAAGAAGCAGATGTGGTAGGGAACAGAGGGTAGGTGGCCTGGCTGTGACGAGAGGTCTCCTGTGATGACCCCTCTCACAGGGAAGCACGGCCAGACAGGTCAGCTGCAGAGGTCAGAAGGCCTCAGGGTGCTTGCGTGGCTGGGGGTGGCCCTTGTGGTCTGGGGAGGTGGCGTGAGAAGAATGTGCCCCAGGAAGCTGTTGGTCCAAGAGAATGGGAGACGTGGGCCAGACTTAGACCCTACCTGAACCCTGTAGCTAAATCCTTCTGAGACTAGCACTGATCAGCCAACCCCCAGCTATGCGCAGACATGTGAGTGAGAAATGGAGAGTTCTGTTTTATTGCACATTGCGGCAGACTAATGCACTCTGTAAAAGGACCAAGAAACCTATGTTACTCAGAGACTAGAATCCTGGAGCTGGAAATGCCTTTAGAATCTGTCTCCTCACCCCTGAACCCCATTTTACAGCTGTGGAGACTGAGGCCCACCGGGGAATGAGGCATGGAGAAGTCCGACGGAAGATGGATTCTGGCTCTTCGTCAGCTGTGTGAACCTGACCAGATTGAGCGAAGTCTTCGGTTTAGTTTCCAAACCTCACAAATGGTGTGATGGAGTTTGGATGTGTTGTCCCCTCCAAAAGTCATGTGGAAATTTCATCTCCAGTGTGGCAGTGTTGGAAACTCATGAATGGATTAATGTTCTCCCTAGGGGAGGGGGGATTGATGAGTGAGTTCTCGCTCTATTAGTTCCCGTGAGACCTGATTGTTTAAAAGACCCTGGCACCTCCTCTCTCTCTCTCTCTCTCTCTCTTGCTTCCTCTCGCCATGTGATCTGCTTGTACCCACCGGCTGCCTGCCACTTTCCACCATGAGTAAAAGCAGCCTGAGGCCTGTGCCAGATGCAGCTGTCCCAGAATCATAAGCCAAATAAACCTCCTTTCCTTATAAATTACCCAGTCTCAGGTATTTCTGTTACAGCAACACAAACGGACTAAACAATAAAACCTACAAAAAAAGGCAATTTGGGTAATGTGCGCAGCACAGAGTCTGCATTGTCTGTTAACTGGCTATACCTCCAGGAGTGGCAGAACTGTCACGGTCCCTGTCCCTTCTACCCTCCTTCCAGTAGAGAAGTTCTCTATGATTCTCTCCAATCTGAACAGGCTCAACCATCTGCAGCCATATTTAACCTGGAGATCTCCTGTACGTCTAACTTCTACCCTCTCTTTCAAATAGAAATAACTCTTTATTTTTCTGGATGTAAATATAATACAGAGTGTGCTCTTGGCGAGAATGAAGATCAGGTCTTTAAGGAGCCACCAGCAGCTGTCTCTGTGCTCACCCAGCCAAAGGGCAGGCACTTGACCTTCACGTGATGCTACCACGATGTGACCTTGACCCTTGCTTGTACTGGCCACTGACTTTTGCCCAGACACGTGATCTCAGATTGGACAGGGAGACCAGCTTCCATCTCTGACTCTGAGAAGGCAGCCGCGGGTGCAGATCCCAGTGCGAAGGGTGCGTCCAGCGTGCCTGCTTTGCCTCTTCCTGGCCGAGTCAGATCCAGCCTGGTCCATCCCAGGCTCAGGCAGGGCCGGGGTGTGGCCGTGAAGTGCGATGGGCTTTGTGTTGCATGGAACTAGTGTGTCCTTCCTAACTCCTGATAACACTGATGATCTCTTCTTGGTGGTGGGGACCTTGGAGATCCGGAAAATCAGTTTCCCCTTCCTGAGGACCCAGACACTTTCTTTAAGCAGAAAAACCCTATAATTTACTAAATATTTGGGACTCAGTTTAGTGAGGATTAAAGAGGTTCCGTATAGCATAGTGCTTAAGTAGACAGTCCCTGGAGCTTGACTAAACTACTGAGTTTGGAGCCCAGTTCTACCTCTTGCCAGCTGTGTGATCTTGGGCAATCCACATAACCTCTCTGTGCCTCAGTTTCCTCATCTATAGGGCATGACAATACCTATCTCATAAACTTGTTAAGAGGATTAAATGAGTTAATACACATAAATGACAGGGACATTTTCGGTTAGCTGTAAAGCTGAATAAAACCCAAGCAAGTGTCAAAGAAAAAGCAGCCATCATTGCAGCCCTGACCCCTCTCCTCTCTCCAGGAGGCCACAGATCGGGGCACACAGGACTGAAAGCCCTAAGACCCTGGATAGGCTTATGGCTGGGCTTCGACTTGCCTTGAGAACTTTGGGATTTTATTTGGCCTCTGAGTCTCAGCTTTTGCCTGTGTTAACGAATATGACGTCCCCATCTGTCAACTTCCGTGGGTTGCTGTGACGAGTGAAGGAGAAAATAGATGTGAATGGTTTACACTGAAAAAAAGAAAATAAATAAGTAAATAAAGAAATGCTTTACACTGGAAATGTGTGCTATTGCTTTTGTTTTGGGTGGGTTTTGTTTATTTCGTTTGTTTCCCCTAACATAACAGGCATCTTGCTCCTGTGCCAGTCCAGTCTATGGGGATGACTCTGCTCCACGCACTCACTCAGGGTCCCCTCTTCTCCCTGATGGGCTCCCTCCAGGCTCCCCACATCCTCCAGGCCCTCCCCCTCCTTCAGCTGGTGGGGAGAGGACAGCGGGCCAGTGCACAGGACTGACGTTCCGTGGAGGACCAGGACTGGAAGTGGGGCCACTGCATCTGCTGTCATTCCACCAGCCATGGCTCCACCACATGGTCTGCCTTTTAAATCACGGGGAAAGTACAGCCTCGCTGGGTGCTCAGGAAGAGGAGAACTTGGATGTTTGAAAGAACGAACCCATTTGTTTTTAACCAGCAAAGAGGAATGAAGCTCTTTCTCTAATTTTTGCTTGGACATAAGGGGACCAGACTAACATGGCCTTTTGGATGGGAAAAGAGACCAACACTTGGCAAGTGTCCCTTCCCTGCTAGGCCCTGGGCTAGTGCTGCCCACGTGAGCATCACTCTGGGCCCCAGGCCCCCTGTTCCCCTTTACTGCTGTGGCCTAAGCCCAGACCCAGGCCCTCCCCATCTGCCCCACGGGATAGCCAGTGCACTCAGGGTAGCAGAGAGTGTGGACAGAGGATGTGCAATGCATCCAGGTCACAGGCTCCCAGGGGATGCCTGGGCTGCCTCAGCTTGTGTCACCTGAAGGCGGGCTCCTTCCTGCTCGAGTCTAGCCTAACCCTGACCACCCTGGTGAGGCTGGAAGTGAACAGACACAGGTAATAAGGGAGAGAGGCTGACCTCGAGGGAGTAGACCCTCAGCAGCCCCTGTCTGAGGACCCACGTCTCCCCCAGGAAGGTGTCCTCCTCCCCAAGAGAGCGGCATCCTATGCAAACACATCCTCACACGGTGTTCCAGCCTCTGTTCTAAGCAACTGCGCACATTAACTCATTTAATCTTCACAATAACCTTATAAAATCGATACTATTACTATCCCTATTTCTGCTAGGCAGAAAAATGGCCCAGGAAAGAGTCTACGTCCTAATCCCTGGAACATGTGAATATGTGGCCTTACATGCAAAAGGGATTTGCTGATGTGATAAAGGACCGTGAGACGGAGAGGTTATGGTGGGTAATCAGGGTGGGCCCAGTGTAATCACAAGGGTCCTTATTAGACAGAGGAGGGAGGCAGGAGAGAGAGAGAGAGGTCTGAAGATCGGAGAGGTTATGGTGGGTAATCAGGGTGGGCCCAGTGTAATCACAAGGGTCCTTATTAGACGGAGGAGGGAGGCAGGAGAGAGAGAGAGAGGTCTGAAGACGCTTCCATGCTGGCGGACGTCTGGCCTCCAGAGCCCTGAGACGATACACCCCTGTTTTAAGCCGCTGGGTTTGTGGTGCTTTGTTCCAGTGGCCCTAGGAAACACATACACCATATTACAGATGGGGAGACGGAGCACGGAGGGGTGAACAACCCGCCTGAGGTTACCCAGCTTGTCAGCATCAGGAGCGGGATCCGACCCCAGGCGGCGGCCCCTGACCCCAGTGCAGGACTCCCTTTCCTGGGGTGTCCACGGCTCCTGCGCTGGAAGTGCTGGGGTTACATGGCCTTGGGCAAGTTACTCGTGTAAAATGAGCCACGAGGGCCCTCTCGCGTATTGTCGTGGGGCTCAGGGACAGTCAAGATCCGGGCTGACATGAGGGGTATTGATGGGT